GGAGACAACAGCAAAACTCCATCTCAAAAAAACAAAAACAAAAACAGACCCTATTTCAAAACAAAAACAAAACAAAACACAAACGTGGAAAGGAAATAAAAATAATTACCGTGTTAAACACAGCTTCGTAGAAAATAAAAGACCACTCAAATACAATAAGCTGTCTTTTTAGACGGGTATAATTGTTATTCTTATTTCACAGCTTAAGAAACAGGCTCAGAGAATGTTATTTGATCGGACCGTGTTGCATCTCTGGACAGTGCAGCTGAGATTAGACTTCGTGTGTAACTCCACTAGCCTACCAGGGTGCCTCTCATAAAGGTAAGAAATCTAAATTTGGCCTAAAATACAAAGTTGCCACGGCAGCACTGGGTCAGTTCTACATACACTACTTCTATGTTCATCAAGTGAAACCTTACAGGAAAGTGAAAATGTTTCTAGAAGGCGATTGGACACCAGCACATTTGCTTGTTGCCTTTGGGCTCTTCTTCTCAGGCCAACAGTGACCTGAAATTATTGACTGACTTTTCCAATCAAGCGGACAAAATGGTACCAAGGTCGCCAACATCAGAGAAATTCACTTGAGGACCTATGTATGTGCTTTGAAAGACAAAACTGCTTTTGTAAAGGATACTGTATTTCAGAAAAACAGAATCATATTAACAACTAATAACACTGTAAAATGCTGATGTGTTGAATGCTACTTTAGAAAAACACGTTCAAATCTAGGGGAAAAAAATCGAAAACTACATATCTAGCTAGCTAGTTACCTATCTAGAGACATGCTTTCATTCTATTGCTCAGGATGCAGAGCAGTGGGATGATCAGAGCTCCTGGCCTCAAGTGGTCCCCCTGCCTCAGCCTCCTAAGTAGCCTGGGCCACAGGTGGACACAGTTACACCTGGGTTTTTTGTTTTGTAGAGACAGGGTTTCACTACACTGCCCAGGCTGGTGTCATACTTTGGAGTCTCGCTGTGTTGCCTAGGCTGGGGTGCAGTGGTGCAATCTCGGCTCACTGTAACCTCCGCCTTCTGGGTTCAAGGAGTAGCGGGGACTACAGGCATGCGCCACCACACCCGGCTAATTTTTGTACTTTTTGTAGAGACTGAGTTTCACCATGGCCAGGCTGGTCTCGAACTCTTGACCTCAGGTGATCCACCCACCTCGGCCTCCCAAAGTGCTGGGATTACAGGCTTGAGCCACCCAGCTTGGCCTAGCACTTTCTTGTTATTAAACAGCCTAACCCAGGCGGGGCACAGTCCCTCACGCCTGTAATCCTGACAGCTCTGAAGGCTAAGGTGAGAAGACCGCTTGAACCCAGGAGCTCGAAACTGGCCTGGGCAACACAGCGAGACCCCCATCTCTACAAAAATTACAAAACTTAGGCCACGTGAGCACCGCACCCCGCCAATTTTTGTATCTTTTGTAGAGACGGGGTTTCGTCATGGTGCCCAGGCTGGTCTAGAACTCCTGAGCCCAAGCCATCCATCCTCCCGCCTCGGCCTCCCGAAGTACTGGGATGGCAGTTTTATCTGGCAGTCCCTCCCTGTTGCACTTAGGTTTTTTTTACTTTTTTAGACAGGGTTTACCTCAGTCTCGCAGGCTGGAATGCTGTGGTGGGACCATAGCTCATTGGAGCCCCGAACCTTGGGGTTCAAGTAGCTGGGGAGCTGAGGTAGGACTACTGAGACAGGGTCGCGCCATGTTGCTAGACTGCTCGTGGCCTGAAGGGATCCTCCCGCCTTGGTCGCGCCTGGACATAGTTTTGTATTTCTGACCGATATAAACACTGCGCTGGGTTGAGTTTGTCAACTACCCTTCTCCAGCAACACACAGGACCTGGAGAGGAGGTCGCGGTTACCATGCTCCACTCTCAGGAGAAAACTGCTCAGCTAGTGACACTACCAACTCCGTGACGCAGCCGAACGCCCGCGCCTGTGACGTCGCCTCAAGGCCCACCCTTGTGACGTCGCCTCAAGGCCCACCCTTGTGACGTCGCCTCAAGGCCCACCCTTGTGACGTCGCCTCAAG